CCATAGGACTCTGTATATTTAGGGATAGTTTTTGGCGGGCCCCCCCCCCCCCCCCCCCGGAGATATAAAATGTGTCCGTACAAAGTCTGCGTGTGCTGATTGCTTGCTCGTCTCGCTCGTTTGTGAGTGCTTGCTTCCGCCTCTTTCCTGTCGTTGTGCGCTTCTTGGAACGATTACTGCTGTCGCATGAGCCGCGCCATGGTATCCGACTCGCAAGTGTGTGACCAGACACCTCGGCCGGTCTTGACTACCAAGCACACATTGCACGCATGCCTGTGTGTGTCTTTGTGCACGTGTGTGGTTTATTTCACCAATATTATTATGTGACTTGATTCGCGCTGACCGGTGTGCCTGCGGGAATGTGTTGTGTGTGTGTGTGTTTTATGGTTATTGTTAGCATCAACCTCGCTAACCGGCTGTCTTTGTGCTTCTGTGTGGTTTCTTGCACCATTATTGTTATTTGTCATTATCACGCTGACCGGTGTGCCTGCGAGAATGTGTGTGTGTGTTTTATCGTTATTATTAGCATCAACCTCCCTATCCGGCTGATCATCGTGTGTGTGCACGTGTTTGTGTTTTTGTTTGCACCCGCGCCTGCGGTCCCTAGATCAACGGCGTCCGAGTGAAGGCGTTCGTCGACAGCGGCGCCCAGAGCACCATCATGTCGGCGGCCTGCGCGGAGAAGTGCGGGCTGATGCGGCTGGTCGACACCCGCTTTCACGGAGAAGCTCGAGGTACGTTGGTAGATAGGTGGACTGCTGTAGGTGTACACGGTCTACATGCATCTGTGGATGCGCCCTTGTGGCAGAATGGGGTAGGTGTTGTAGGTGTTTGCGTGTGCCCCTGGCACATGTGTGCACGTGTTTCGATGGTACGAACTGTGTACGGGGGCGACCTTTGAGAACGGGGTCTCGTTTCCGAAACGTCCGTCGAGGAGGCGCGCTTCCTTCCTTTCACGATGTCGTCGACCAAAACATGTAGGGCATGTCGCGACGAGGGGAAAGGGGGTGCTAACATTTACATGTACGTCCATTCGAGTTTTTTTTTTTTTCTCCCATCTCGTGCGTAGCAAGGGCTACACCATTAATTACGCCGATAGTTCCTTCCTAAGCGCGCTCGAACACGGCTGTTTTGTGAGCTTGTTGTTGTGGCGGTCGACCGTTTTTTTTTTTTTCTTGTCCAGTCCGACACTTTTTTTCTCCCTTCGTTGCTCATTGCGTGCAACAACCCTCCGGTCGACTCAGGAGTGGGGACGGGGAAGATCCTGGGAAGAATACACATGGCGCAGATCAAGATCGGGGATCATCACTTCCCGTGCAGCTTCACGATCCTCCAGGTGAGGATGGTCGGGTAGGAAGAAAAATGAAAAATACACCCCAGGAGAGATGAGGTTGGGGGGCACGAATAAGGCGATGGGGGAGCAGCTGATAACAACCGCTGTACATGGGGCAGCCGCCTTATGCAAATGCGTAGAACAACTTGATTATTCCGTCTATGCCAGCCAGTTTCACCCACCGTATTTTAGGGCGACCGCCTTGTTCAGACCGCCTTTTTGGGGGACCCTCATTGTAGATGCCAGCAGGGACGAAAGTAATCGTTGCACAGAGAGCACCGGGCCGACCGCCGTCATACATGAGAAAATCCTCACGAGGGGACCGGCTAGAGTTCCCCGTGAAGGGCGACCAATGCCCCCC